AACTTTGCGCTATCTGGTTTTACCTTGCCTTTGAAGGATTCTAACTTAAGCTTCGGAGCCTTTACACCGGGTTCCCCCCGGAGCTTCCTCGTCTTCTCTGTTTCAGGTTCTCTGCTACTCAGTTCAGAGGCAAGGTCGTTGACAACTAAGACCGGCCGGATTGCGCATCATCAGAAGCAAAGACAACAAAGGTGGGCACAACATAAGCTAGAAGCAAATTTGTTACAGCAAGAAAGAGGGTGGACTTGGCCTTAGACTCCTTGAGCCATTCAACAAAGCCCTCTTCTCCAAACAGGTTTGGAAATTAATAAATAGTACTGAAACCCTATGGGCCCACCAACTCAGGGAAAAATACTGGAAGAAGAACAACATCTTCGAATGCAAGGGAAAACCATCGGATTCTTGGTGGTGGAAATGCTCCTTAAAAATAATAGCAAAATTCAAATCGCATGTTTGCTGAAAAGTAGGAAAGGGAGACAAAATAGATGCTCTGAAGTATCCATGGATCCTAGGAATACCAAGTAGTACCCCAAGAACTAAAGAAGGAATCATCCCCCATGGCCCCATGAAAGTTAGAGACTTTTTATTAGAAGGTACGGGCTGGAACAGTGAAAAATTGTTGGAGTGGTTTGAGCCAATAACAGTAGAAGCCATACAAAGCATCCACATCAACAGCCTTGCCTTGGTTGGTCTCGAGCAATAGGGATTTCACAGTAAAGTCAGCCTACCTGGCTTTCTTACAAGATGGTGAACAAGTTGATTCAACTGAAATCAAATGGATGAAGATCTGGTCTAACAAAGCTCCGTTTCGATGTCAACTATTTATGTGGAAATTCCTACATAATGCAATCAAAACTAAATCGAACACATGGAGCGCCATCAGAAGCAATGAAGTCCAATGTCCCTTCTGTGGAGACGAAGTAGAAACTCAAACCCATCTCTTTCTCCAATGCCCGTTCACAAAAGCAGTCTGGTTACAAGCCCAAGTCGATTTTAACCCTGAAGCCTTCCAAGATCCGGCGATGTTCTAACTTGGTGGAGTAACTACAATGGGAAGGAAGTAGAGAAAGAAGATGGAAAGGTGTTTTGGGCTCACATCGTAGCCATCTTCCGTGCTATCTGGGATACCAGAAATGCCACAATCTTCAACAATGAGAACCCAGTCCCATCAGCTGTTCTCAGACAAGCCAATTCATACTACAAACTACAGCTTTCGAGTCCAAATAACCAGTAAGTTCCAGTTCAAGAGTCTCTCTTGGATCTCTCTATTCTGGACAATAGGCATGAAGACATAATATTATAAATGGATCCAGGGATCCGTGCACCAAGGACTATTCTTTGTATCTTACACTCTTAATTGCTCTTTTGCAGAAGGGCAACCATGCCTGGCCTCTTCCCCAACAGTAGCTGAGATATGGACGATCGTTAGAGATCTCAGATACCTGCTGAATCAAACATCACAAAAGCAACTCTCCTTTCATATGCTAAAACTGCTCTTTTGTCCTTAAAAGGAATCGAAGGAAGCATTAACGGGGATATTCAAGCTATTCAAGCACACATCAAACATTTGCTCTCCTTTTTTGCCACTACAAGACTGATATATGTTCATAGGCCTGCAGTCACTAAAGCCCATGATATAACTAAACTAGCAAGGCTCCACAGATCTTATGTTTTTGCATCCTATCCCCTCCATGCTTCCAATGTTTTTTTGCTTCATGTAAAAAGGGGATAATTATGTATATTTAGTGTTTTTCGCGGTTCCTTATATATAAAAAACTATTAAGCTCCTCCACCACCATTGTTGCTATTACTAAATACAAAGAAATCGATATCGATTTTTGTTTTAGAAAACCCCAATTCTATTTCAACGCAGATAATTATTATGTATACCAACAGGACGACCCTAATCCAAGAACAAGGAGAACAATCCAAAAAAAGATTCTCAGGGGAGACTCGAGGAAGCTTCGCAGAAGCCAAACGTCGGACAAACTAGGCAACCCATCAAAACACACCTTCCTAGAAATCTCTTGCAGCTTACAGCATTTAAACATCAAACAAATAAATAAATTATTAGAAAAAAGCTCTAAAAGAAATATCATAGACTTCAAGTCCTCAGTACAACATGGCTTACTGAGCCATTAATCAAAGCCGTCCATTTGGAGTTAAGGTTATAGGACCACCCCCCGATATGAGAATCCCAACTTCTGTATGAAACCATGTGGACGAGGACGAAGCAGTACGATTTTTGGATTTGAGTAGAGAGAGGACTGAGGAGAAGAAAAATGTTCCAGACTCCCCAATTCGAGCGGTCAAATTTATACTGTACTTTACAGTTTCTACTCATCACACCCATACTTCCGAAATCCGATTTTTTTTATTTCTATTTCTTTGGTAGATTTTCCCAGACCTCCGCTTGTAAAAAGACCATAGCGTCCCCATGACCACGATCGCAAAATGTTAATAAATGCGTGGCTACCTCTACCTTTTTCCTCGTGTCCATACATAATACTCTCCATGTCCATACTGTGACATTCACTCTCAACTAAATTTTTCGTTATCGTTTTTGGATTAGCAGGCGAGCACGTCGTTAAAAGTCAGTCTTGCCCAGAAAGTATGGCAAATGGCCGGATCCCAACTACAGTCCCGACGACCGAGTACCAGGACCTCTTACCGATCATGGCCGAGAAGCTTGACGTAGATTCCTTTGTGGCCGAACTCTGTGCTGGATTCCGGCTTCTAGCAGATCCTGCGACTGGCTTAATAACATCGGAAAGCCTTCAGAGGAATTCCGCCCTTCTGGGTATGGAAGGGATGACCCTAAAGGACTCGGAAGCGATGGTGAAGGAAGGTGACCTGGATGGAGACGGTGCACTCAACGAAACCGAGTTTTGCATCTTGATGGTGAGACTCAGCCCTGGGATGATGCAAGATGCAGAAACATGGCTTCAGAAGGCGCTCGAACGAGAGTTACACAAGTCAGTTTAATCTGTTTCGTTCGACAATTTGGAGAAAGATTAGCTAGTGTTTAATCATTCATGCTATGTTATTATGCTGTATTCTGCCTTTCTCTCTCTCTCTCTCTCTCTGCCTGTATCTGCTTTGACGAACCAAGTCATACTCTGAGGCTCTGAGCCTCACGTCGCAAGTTCAATGATAACGGTTCATTAACTCGTGATGCACCCAACCACCCGTCTAACACATTGCATTGCCGTCTTCTTGGACCCAATCAAATATGACTCGATCATAATAATAATAATAATAAAATCGACGTCTTGTATTATCAGTAAGTCATTTGCAAGCATTAAGGCTCTAGCCCTTAAATCTCCCAATTAGGCAAATAATGGGCACTTCCACCCCAATCCATTTTTTTGTCTGCCCCTAAATTCTTCTAAACCTCTCAACTTGGAACAGATCACTTCTTCTAATGGTACTGTAGATGATTATTGAAAATGTATCAAATATCAATTATCAATCAATATAATAATAAAAGAACAATCTTCATTGTTTAAAAGAAGGGTTACCGCTCAAAGAACCTCTAGATCTACAAATTGAAATTTTAGTTAACACAGAAGTAGATGCCTTGGAGTTTCAAATTGGCCACAAAAAATAGAAAACCAAGTTCCCTTGACAAAAAGTGAAACCAATATTGTATTGGCTCTCCCACTCTCTATACTGGGGTATTTTCTTTTGAACTTCTATCAAATTTCTCTGCTTAATTCCATATTAAGTATGAAACAAATGGTTGTGTACAATTAACGGGGAGTAGGAATAAAAATCCAAATACAAAAAATCATCCAACCGATCGCTAGTAAGCAGCAGCTTCGCTTCAACTAGCGAAGACAGCTAGCTCCCGGGAATAATCTCATAATTGTGCAGTTAATGGCACCCTCTACTACATGAATATATAAATGAATAGCATGTACTTCAGATCCTCCCTCTTAAAGAATAAAACGAGAATAATTTGGAATTTGAATCCAACTAGAAACCATTCCAGAACCACAAACGCTAAACATAACCTTAGGCTACACCATGGTACACACCCAGACAGGCAATTTGACCGGATAAGTTAAAAATCGGAAAACACAATTCTTCAGCCAGCTAATACAGCGACTACAACCTCCATTTCTAGTGCCGGACGAGGCTTCTACCCACGTTAGGTTTTTAGATGGCCAAAAGAAAAGAGAGTACCCCCACCCATGAAAGCAAGTAAGCAACTAATTCAACCATATATTGAAAGAATTTTCGATCCACCAACATATACTCTACAAACCCCACTCCCCCACACTTCCATCTGCCGTTTTCCATTCAAGTCCTTGACCTTCGGGGAGGAGACCTGCTGCTAGAGAGTGAAAAAGAGAAGGAAAAATCAATCAACCAATAGAACCAAGATGCATTACTTACATAAGCAATTTCTCATGACATGCACATGGTTTATTTTTAAGCATATAAACAGCAACATACCTTGGATAGCTACCATAATCTGGACTCCTGTCTCGGTCATATTCTGAACGATTGTACCTATCATACACTGGGCTGCGAGCCCGCCCATAATCAGGACTTGGTCTACCTCTGCGATGCACTGGACTAACTGAACGGCCATATGGGCTATCACCACGCCTCCCATAACCACCACCTCTTCTGGGGCTATCACGCCTCTCAACTCGCTCACCATCATCCCTCAGGGCGTACTCCACGGATACCACCCTGTCCAGAATCTTGCTGCAAAATTTTGGAAAGCCTTTAGAGATTATATGACATATCTAGACCAGCAAACAATATGTCAAATGAATAATATCTATGTCCTAAACAAACAATTTCTTTGCTCGTGAATGGCAAAACCACCAGCCCGCACACACAAAAGGGAAAAAGAAAATTAATATTTTTTCTATAATTGAAAAGGACAGGTGACTTAAAAGTGTAATATTTTCAAATCACTGTTGACAATAACGTTTGAACCAGTGAACCAGTGGCCTCTTCATATTCCAGTTTTGAGGGTTTTGACCAGGAAAATACAAGGACCATCTTCTTTAACCACCATATCTATGACTCTGACAGCTTTCAGGTTCAATAGGTCAGTAAATATTGCCTCCTACAGATGAAAAAAGCTTTCACCTGTAATTGTTTTCAGGTTCAACAATCAGGTTTATGAAACTCTCTTGTGAAAGTACAAATGCAACTACAAGCATCAGAAGAAACAGAAATTTACCAACCTCATGTGTGTGCACTCCAGAGCTTTTGTAGCATCTTCTTGTGTTTCAAACTGCACAAAGGCAAAGTTCCTCCTAATCCGCACGTGTAGAACCTTTCCATAAGGTTCAAAGTGCCTCTCAATATCACGAATCCTTGTGCGAATTGGATCAAAATTGATGACAAAAAGAGTTTTGGTAGACCCCTGATTCGCCATTGCCCTAGAACCATCTCTGTGCCGTAAGCCACAGTCACCTTGCTGAAGAGAATAAAAGTTAAGAAGCAAGTGATTACAGATTGACCCTTTTTTGCCAAGCTTATTCAAAAGCAATAAGTCACAATAAAGCCCACAAATAATAACAATGTTTTCTTCCTAGTACATGAAACACACGCTAAGAATGCATACCCTTGCCCACTCCACTGAGAGCCTGCGTCTACTGTAACCAAATGGTGTGTCATCAATTCGCCGAATGGCATCTTCGGCATCACGCTCATCATCGAAGTAAACAAAAGCAAAACCTGCAGCCAAACAAGGAAATCAGTAGGAATAGTGGCAAGGATAACTTTTGGATATCATTTTCACTGGGTCTTCACTATGATAAGCCAATTAGGATCTCATTTCCCTGGTAAGAACAGAAGAATACAACACCTGCAAATAAGTGAGGGCCTGATGCACATAAGGTTGTCAATAATGAGGAGAGGGGAGACCTTGCATGATGAACTAAATCATGATGATGGCATTAAATTTTACTTCCGAAGTGTCAGAAGTGAGAAGACATTGCTGAGCATGCTTCACCATTCAAACAGCCAAGTGTTAAGCACTAGTAGGCATGGCATGACTGATTTGATTCATTCCCCCATGATCATTGATAGGAGTAGGAATAGCATGACTGATTGACTGATCCTCTATGACCATTCTTGTAAAATGCCAACTTTGAGCAGTGTGGGGGATGAGTGACAGATGAAAATGCAGAAGGATGCCATTTGTGGGTGGAAGGAGCTGATGAGCAGTCAGGGTGGAAGGTTTTTTGCACGGAAGTTGGTGAGCCCAGATATGAGCTCGGGTCCCCTAGTAGTAGTTCCTGCGTCAAAACAAACATTTAAATATGGGAATTTTTTCCCAAAGAAATACAATATCGTTCTGTTATTTTCTCTTTCTTCTTTCCTTTTTGTTCACATATCCACATCCAACAGACTGATGTGCGGAAACAAAACAACTCTTGACAGCATCATAAACGTAGCAAGGCCGGTAATGGAAACCTAACCTTTTACCCTAATAAAGGAAAGGGCAACAGAAACGCACAAATTCCTTTGAACTTCTCAAAGCCAAGGCTCCAAGCAACCGTTAAAACGAAAAATTCAAAGATCAGGATGAAAGTTGCAAAAGGAAACATTGCAGGACACCAAAATAAACTTAATCCAACTGACTCAACTTGGTCAATGCATGTGCCTGGGTTCTCAGTTAAAGCCTTGGTCAGTACTTCAAACTATGGAAACTCAGAACCAGATACTGCTAACTGCTAAGCATACTGGGGTCTAGCGAAAAATTGTTGAAAACATCACGCTTCTTATGAAGTCAGCACCTTGCACTCTAATGAGAGTGCATACAATAAGGAGATCAATAACGTCTAGGCAATTTTGAAGCTCAAAACTGCAACCGAATAGCACGCACAAATAGAAAAGAGAAAATGCATAACATCAGGTTTCTATAAATGAAATTGAGCATTCATTCAGAATTGAAACAGCTCATGTGAATCTCACCAACCAAATTTAAGAACCATTCAATGATTATTATTCAAAGGTAATTCATCTTACCATGAAGCTAACTATTCAGAAGAACCCAATGACGAGAACAACCATCCAACAGAGAAAACAAGATAACACTTACCAGATTTCATGTCAATGCGCTCCACCCTTCCATATTTAGAGAACAGTCGTTCTAAGTCAGATTGACGAGTTTCGTATTCAAAATTACCACAGAAAACCGGCCTCATACTCGTAGTCTCCCAAAAGCACCCCGGGTAAATCTACAGTGCAGAAGAAACAACGATAACAGAGGATTATGGGGGGAAAAACCCTAGCGAAAGATCCTAGAATGAAAGAAACAAAAGAAAAAAAATAACAATAAAAGTAGACTCGAGCCCGGAGAACAGAGACCCTAAACCCCAATGAAAACCCCTAACAAGTAAGAAAACATCCCGTTGAATGACAAAATCATATTTGCTTAATCTCATTTGATCATGAAGCATAGTAAAAAGAAGAAAGGCAGATGAATATGCGTAGGGGGTAACAAACCCTCAACAAGATATCTTTTATTCTCCAACCGAAGCAAAACGAAACCCTCGAGAAACTACCTCTGATTCTCCAACCGAAACAATACCCCTTACGGGAGAAAGAGAGTGGAGAGAGCAAGCGCGGAAGATTTGGCCTTAAATAGTAACAGCCAACCAGGTCCCACCTTTGACGCCAACTTTACGCTACTTTTTCTCGTGACCGTCAAAATCGGAGCTTTAATTGGGAATCTATATTCAAAGTTATCATCTGATACGCAACATTTCAACCGTCCGATCCTGGGTTGAATAAATGGACTCACACGTGTGCTTCTGCTTRTAATTTGATAATGATAGTATCAGTCGGTTTTTTTTGGGTAAATCTCTTAAATTACTCATTGTTTAGCCTAATGATACGCGGTACCCCTATCTGTTCTCTTGCACTACCCTTAAGTTTTCTAACAATTGTCCAACTCTTTCTCTATCGTTATTTGACCATCGGGTCCTGTATGTGACACCACTTGATTGATATTTTTTTCTATAATTCCCAAACTACCCGTTTATGATAAAAAATACCCTTTTAGTTTTAGTTCAAGCTTGCTAGCTATGTTAGCACTGAACCAATTGGACCTATCACCAACACTGAAGCTAAGGCTCACTAGCATCCAGTTGCTAGTCATTAGCATTGATTGTCAGCGTCGGCATCATCGGTGTAGTGAACTTTTGGTAGAGTAGGCTATCAATCACCGACGTCCTCTCATAGAACGGTGACCCCATGGACGGCTTTGAAACCCATTTTAACTTGCAGCGTCAATACCGTCATTGGTGACCCCAAAAGGGTTTTGAAACTCGCGGTGTGGGGAAGGATAACGGCGGTGACCCCAATGCACTACACCACTGCCAATGCGGTGTGGGGGAGGAGAGAGGAGAATGGCGATGGGATTTCGATTTCAAATAGATGTAGCCATTGACTGTCATCTATTCGACGAAATGTCCAGCCCCCCCCCCCTCGGCATGCCTAGTACGCCCAACCCCCACCCGGCACGCCTAACCGACAGTTCTATGGGTGCCACTACTATGTATGTAGGTTATCAATTTGGTAATTGTTGTAGTTTGCCCAACATGGTCTATGTTTAATAACATGTATTTGTTGTAGTTTGCCCCCGATAAATGATGCAGCTTTTTCTTATGAAAGATGAAGCAATGATGTGTCCCTATGGCATTGGGCTATGTCGAGTGTTCACATCGAAAAAGTCTAGCAGCCAAGGAAAACGGTTTTGGGTGTGCGCAAAGCCTCAGGTAAGAAAAAAATTGTTATTCAATAATTATTTTGTTCAATGACTTATGAAAATTCATTTTTTTTGTAGGATGCAGGTGGATGTGTAGGTGCATACTACTCACTTAGACCCTTAGGGGACGCCTAAACACCATGATTAACACCATATAAACACATGTCAACAACCCACAATCAACCCCCACACTGCAATGAACTGGTAGTAGATACCGCAATACCGCGATGAACCCGCAATTCACCGAATCTAGCCAGTGCCTGAACAAAAAGAAACCACACCTGGACCCATCCAAAGGTCACAAGCCCACCCATGATGGGTCAGAATAGACATGGGTTGAGCCCACGGCGAGGCCCACGTGCGCTCGGAGGTATGCAAACCTCTCGACAGCAAAAGACCTTACGGGCCACCAAGTGGAAGCGGTGAGAAGCCTATCGCGGAAAACTGATGCCACTGACGCCATGAAGGATTAGCCATGGCATGCAAAAAAGGGTAGTAGCACACGTGAGTAATGAGGGATCTCAAGGATAAGGAAAGCCAAAAAAGGGTAGACCGAGAGAGAGAGAGAGGTCGAATATTTAGGTTTTCTGGGTTTGGGATTATCAGGGGTAACTCGCATCATTTCCAAAATTATTGTAAAGATATTTTGGACTATGCACCAGCTTTGAAACACGTCTGAGCATGTTAAGAGCCGGCCTAAGGTCTATTATTTTCAGATATGAAAATGAGATCCAGACTAATTTTAAGAGGTAAAACCAAACAAGGGGTGAGATCTGAAAAGTAGCATTCTCAGATTCAGACCTTTGAAAAGTGCAATCAAACGACACCTAAGGTCCATAATTAATATGATTAACTAAGTTGTCACAAGACAAATTTCCATGGGGCAAATTTGGGTATGGAGCACCTAATCTTATAAGAAAATAAGGTACATCTCTAATTAAAGTCCAGATCTGATTTAGATCTGGATTATCTCCAAATTAGATTAGGAGATAGCTCCATAAGAAATTATAAAAGAGGAGGGGGTGGACCAGTCCAAGACAACTTCATATTTTTGTAGTTTATGGTTCTCTCTACACCCTTTTGTCTCCTACTTTTTTCCCAATATGACATCAGCTATCTCAGACTAATTTAGATTAGTTTTACTCTAATTTTTTCAAAAAAAAAWTTAGGGAATATCAAGCTCATCATCCACAGTTCGATCTATGTAGTTGGATCTTAGTTTTGTTGAAACCGTGCTGCTAAATCAGCTTCACCTATCCTATACACTACGCCATCTTCAGTGGAGGTTGGTTTTAGGACTGATTTGGATGTGAACTTCCACCTTGGGATTTGGATTTGTGGTATCCGTATCATGTACAAATGTTTGGTTTCAAATGTGGTCCGATTCAGTGCAAGATCGATCCTAAAAAATGTAGTTTTTCAAAACATAGGGAATTCGATTTACAAAACGATTAGGAAATTTTTGAAAATTCTCTCAGCCATCTATCATGGTTCGGCCATCCATAGGATGGATCCTAACCCTTTCAACATATATGTATTAATTTAAATTAAAAATTTTTTATTTGTAAAAGAAATATAAAAATTGTAATTTAAGGCCATAAAAGGGTATTTTTTTGTGAAGATAGCAGGGTAAGATGCCTATGGCTCCTTGGGACGCATAGATCTCGAAAAATTACCCAAAATAAAAGAGAGTCATCTTAGTCGAACATTGGAGCGCAAAGATATAGCCTCCTGAACTTTGCATACACATTTAGTGTGCAACCCATAATCCGGTCATCGGGTCAAATAAGTCAACAGTCTAACTGTTTGAGTCAGACATTTTTGACGAAGTCAATGGTTTTTTTACCTCCTTAGGATTTTATTCAAACCAGACCTGGAATCTTGATTGGGTGATGGTTCAAGCAATTCGAACAGTTGAGTTCAACTAAACCCAACTCGTTGGTAACCCTAAATATTTTTTAATTTAGTTTTAATTTTTTATTTGTAAAAAAAATTAAAAATTACAATATGAGGGGAAAAGGGGTTTGAGCAAAAATAGTTACCCAAAATAAAAGAAAATCACCTCAATTGGACATCGAAGTGCAAAGTGATGGCCTTTCTAAAGTCTACATACACAATTAGTGTGCAACCCATGACCCGGTAACTAGATTCAATGGGGCAATGCTCCGACCATCTGGGTCTAACAGTTTTGACCAAGTCAATGATTTTTATCCCACTAGGTTTTACTCAAATCGGACCCAGAATCTTGATTGGGTGATGGTTTGAATGGTTTAACCGGCTGGGTTCAACCAAGCCCAACCTATTGATAACCCTAAATATTTTTTAGTTCGGTTTTAATTTTTTTATTTGTAAAAAAGTATTAAAATTTTGAAGTTTGCATACACATTTAGTAACCCATGACCCGGTCATCGGGTCGAACAAATCAATGGTCCAACTATTCGGGTCAAATGATTTTTTACTAAGTCAATAATTTTTACCTCCCTTCGAGTTACTCAAACCAAACTCAGAATCTTGATCGGGTGATGGTTTGAATGGTTCTGCCAGTTGGGTTCAACCAAACCCAACCTGTTGACAACCCTAAACAATTTTTCATTTAGTTTTAAATTTTTTATTTGTAAAAAATGTTAAAGTTGAAATTTGAGTCCAAAAAAAGCTTTTTTGGTGAAAATAACATGGCAACGAATTGTGATGCATAGGTCTCAAAAAATTACCCAAAATAATATAAAACATCTTAATCGGACATCAGAGTGCAAAGTTATAGCCTCTCGAAGTTTGCATACACATTACTGTGAACTTGTGACCCGGTCACTAGGTCAAACAAGCCAACAATCCAATCATTCGGGTTGGATGGTTTTGACCAAGTTAACGATTTTTATCTTCCTCTGGGTTTTACTCAAATTGGACCCAAAATCTTGAATGGGTAATGGTTCGAGCGGTTTAACTAGTTGGGTTCAATCAAACCCAAAGAAATAAAATGAGAGAGAAAGACAATTTTTAGCAAATATGAAAGAGGTAGAAGTTTAGTGGCATCATTGTAAATAGTTAGATGTTTTGCATGAAAGCGGAAAATGAGGGGACAAATTATCATTGCTTTTTTGTTTTATTGAATGGCATCTTTATAATTAATTAAATTTTTAATGGTAAAAAGCCACAAACTCCACACGTCTCCTCCTCTTATGCCCCATTTTGTATTAGGTATATATATATATATATATATAGTGGTATGTAAATCTATAATGCGGGATATGGAAAGAGTTTTGACTAATCAAAACTCACCCATGAATTTTGATAAATAACACCTTATTTGCTATCACGTTTATGATTTCACTTTATTAGTCAATTGCTTTTCAGACATCATATCTTTTCCATATCATAGTCACACCCATATATATATATATATACACACACATATACACAGTTTCACATATATACATAAATACATACATATATGTGTGTATGTGTATGTATTTGTATTTATGAAAAAAGTTACATATATATACAATTGCATGTACGAATGTGTATAGTTGAGCCAGGCTACTTGAGGTATAGGCCCGGGCCGGGCCCAAAAAAAAAATGACTTCTTGGGCCTGAGATTAGCCCAAGGACCGAAAATCCAAGCCTAGCCCATGTAGAATTTCAGGTTGGGCCAATTTGGGCTCGAGATGGGCCCGCTCAAGTTGCACCCCTATTATTTTGCCCATGTGTGAATTATAATTCAGATGTTCTATGGCTGTAGTGCCTTGTGGGTAGGCTTATTGGTTGTATTGTGGTGTATAAGACAAGGGCAGATTCAGTCCTCACAAAATTGTTCTCATACTTTTTCACACTTGTTCAGATTT